TAGAATATATAAAATAGACCTAGAAAAATGATTTTAGTGTAATTTAGTAATGCCAAAGTGCAATTAAGATAACTTTAGTTCTAGATTGTAAGTTAGTTGTAAGAAAAAGCCCCGCCTGTAGCTGCTTAAGCCGCAAGGCAGCAGCGTATTATAAAAAATATTCATAGAAAATAAATTCCCCTTCTTCACAGGGATACTGTGGAGGGGACAAAAGAAAAAAAAAGCCTTCCTTTCTCGGCCAGTAATGTTCAGTTGTTTTCATAACTGACAAAAAAAAGTATTTTCAACCCGCCCGAAATACATCTCGCCTGTGGTAGAAATACTCTTCTCGAGCCGCACTGCACTTTAGAACTACCTCAGCTGCTCATCACCCAGGGAACGAGGCCGTCATGTACAATTCATAGATCACTTGAAGCAGAAAAGCAGTGCCTTCTTAGAGGGCCCGTAAAATTTGGATTAGTAGATATATCAGTAATGGCTCATGGCGTTACATTCCTGGGAGGCTTTCAAAATGCATTCCCCTTTACAGTCATTTACAATTATCATGAATACAATCGTGATCGAAATTTTATTTGTATCACTTTGTAACGACCATAATTTTTTAAATAAGTCCTGTGTATTCCATATCCAGTACTACGCGTTATCCTGGAAACTAACAAACATGTTGTCTCTTTTTTTTTTCCACTCGAACTAAGATTTCGATAATCACTGAAACCTGTGTAATCGAGAAACTTGCGTCCAACTCACCTCTCATATTCATTTATTCATATTATATTCATTAGCACGGAGAAAATGTTCCGTGTACGGTGTTGGGGGGGGGGAGCATTCCACTGGCGTCCGTGCCTTGCTCTGCGGCGCCTGTGGGATCACGGGTCGTGACGTCAGCTGCGCGTTAAACGCGCGACTGCGTGGGCGCGCAGAGGCCGAAGCAGGAGAGACCTTCCTCGCAGTGTTACCCTCCCCCGATCTCCTCGGCAAGGACGGGCGATTCACACAACTTTTAAATCGAAATATATTTTAAAAAAATTAAGAATAACAGGGGGGAAATAATTATGTGGTCAGAAACAAACTTGGTGAAATGTTCAGAAGATCGTAGGGAGGACCTGGCCCCCTACATACTAGTCCTACAATTAACTTACTTGCACTTTGGCGTTACTAACTTACACTATGATCAGTTTTGTTAATACTATAATTCTACAGAGTTTGTTATTTTATGGACGAGATTTTTTTCTTGTTTTTCACTACTTTCACATATTATTCATAATTGATATATATATATATATATATATATATATATATATATATATAAATATAAATAACCATTCAGTCGCACTTCACTAACTAAACACTGTTCACTACGGCACTGACTTGGCTCAATGTGTGCGTGGCGTTCGGGACCATTGGGAAGCGTGGTAGGTGGGAAGGAAAACAACTTTTGCATTCGTCAACCGAAATAAATTTTAAAAAAAATTAAGAATAACATTGGGGGAAAATAATAATATGATCAGAAAGAAACTTGATGAAATGTTCAGAAGATCGTAGGGAGGACCTGGCCTAACTTGAAAAACCGCCCCTGTGAAACATTAAGCGCGACGTAATAATAGAAAAATCAACGCAGGAATGCATGGCAATCAAAACCTTCTCAGTCATATGAAATGCAGAATTTATATATTGTAGTGATTTGGACATGTAACAACTTAGGTACCTTTCAAATGTTTCACAAATGTCGGTAATACAAGAATACCTGTAGGGTATTCATGAAGAGTGGCGAAGCAAGGTCCGATGACGCACTACCAGATACTCTCGGTGTCACTTTCCTCCACATACCAGGCCAATCCCACTGTGGCCGCTAACGTCGGCTAGCTAAACTAAAGAATTAACGGTTGGCACATCCCATTTAAAAATAGCATCTTCCTTTCTCCTCCACCGATTCCGCACAAGCAAGTAATGTGGGCTTGGTGATTGATGAAGTGGGATGAGGGGGGAGTGAGACTGGTCTGACAGCCGAAAACAATTTCCGTCACCGTAGGTAGAGTATACATTTTTCACACTTTACGTTTAAAACGGTTTTATTTCCCCATCCCAACGTGGCAAGAGGTAAACGACATTTAAGCCTTTTTCCATTGTCCCAGCATCCTCACTTTAGGTTAAAGTGACATTTTCCCCTATTTTTGCACTGTTTTGAGGATACATTAAAGCGTGTTCTCTGCCATTTGCACCAATCTTACACAGCTTTGAAACGTCACTAACACGCTTTACTACCGACGAGAGGTCACGTTAGGAGCTTAAAAGCTTCTAATCTACTCGAGTTGTACATACACACATTTGTCCATACAAACAGCATGCTAAAAACCACCTTTTTCATTTCAACGAACCTCAAAACGAAATTTACTACCGAAATATCTTCGATGCTTTTGGACCGATTCCAATATTTCCTCTTTTGAACTTTTCACCTCTATTAGATATAGCCGAAGAAAAATTCTTAAAATACTAAAAAGTCTTGTAAGTTGCATTAACAAACGGACTATACAATGGAACAACAAAAGAACTATACAATGATTATTAAAAAAACAAAACAAATTTGGGCAATTGTCACAGACGAAATTGTTAAAACATACGAATGAGCATACATAATTATTGTTAAAAGTATCCATGGACCAAACTAAATTATTCAGTACACTTTTGTTTCCTACATTCGTTAGTGTTATTGACGTTTAATTTTTTAAAATTATATGTGGGGACTCCCGGATCCTTATTTTCAATGACGGGATGAAGTTACCCCGATACAGGATATTGAAATTGACTTCGAAGACTAAAATAAGAGTACGTTTTCCGTCATTAAAGTGAATAAAGCTAGTGGAATATTTGATTTTATTAGCTGAGTGATCGGTACATACACATTACATTAACAATATTTAAATTACAGCAAGGAAAGAATGTAGGATTTTTACTTGGAAGTAAGTTGACATGATCTAATTGAATCAGCGGTTTCAGTGGTTTGACAGCGTATTGGGCTGTTATAACCAAGTTTGCGGATTCAGCAATCGAAGCCCTGTTTTTGAAAGGGCGAGAAAATTCTTCCGACGCTTCTCTTCGGCGGGGAAGTAAAGTCGGCTGTCCCGTACTGTAGGTTTACTGACTGTAAAAGATCAAGAATAAAGGAAACCTCTGAGCTAAATCTAAAACGACTGTTTTGCCGCCCGAGTGCTACCTTCTTCCTCCCATAGATGGAGAAAGGAGAGTAGCGAAATTTTACAGGTCTGATGGCCTGGGTCACATCATGTAAAATAAAACATCATTGAATTGAATTGATTTAGCTTTTCAAATATTTGTGGATATAAACAAGTATTCACGTAACGTAACTTCTTCAAATGTGTCTGCAACACATTTAGCGCTTGGCCTCTCTAACGACTTTGAGTTTATACTGCGATTAAAGTGGATGTGATGAGCAATTTTAAGACGTCATCCATTGTAACTGCCAATCAAATGGATAAAATATTACACACGCACATTGTAATTAAACTGTAAGAGTCGATTGCAAAGGCATGTATTATTTTAGGAGCGTGTGTGAGGTAATTCTAGCTGATTCTCTTGAACATTTAGACCCAGAAAACAACACAAGCCAGATCTTTGTGAGTCAGTGATATATGTTGCAAACCTTCCGACTCTTACAGAAAGACGAGAGAGTTTGGCAGGAAACTCATTGCAATTCATTTTCCTCCATACAGTGTCCATTTATTTAGTATTCAAAATTGAAAATCGTCGCTCTGCGATTCTAATAGTGGGGGAAATGCTTGTGCCTATGAACAGTGCCAGGAAGAGAGAAATAAGTGTTGCGTGTTCTGCAAAGTCACATGTGGGAAGCATCGTGGTAAGCGGCACAGTTGGAATCGGTGTTTATCCCATGCAATAACGAATATTATTTATTTGTAAGGAATCGTTAGTAACCTCATATAAAATTAGAAGATGAAGTGCGCTTTATTTCAGTGTGTACCTACTTAACTGGCATGAACTTCAAGTTCAATTGGTATCAACTGTAGATCGTAGCACAAATCAGTAGTCACAATTACATTTATTTCGATACATCAATAATTTATTTTGTGGTAGTAACTTCATGGATGTTTCGTACTTCGTTCTGTTAATCATAGAACTTTAATTTGTACTTGTGATATTTATTACGATTATTTTCCCATTAAGAACGCGCCATCCACCTGAGCTTGTGTAGTTTCAGTGACAAACGGAAAAATTCGTCTAAAATGGCCATCCACCAGCGAGCGAGGTTCGCGCCACCTGTCGTATGGAACAGATGGCGGCGGCGACAGATTTACGACCAGCGCCCGGCAGGCCCCCTCGCAGCCTCACTCGTGAATCTTGATCTATTTCACTCCACCTACGCTATTTATTGGTGATTGAAAATAAGATGCGTCTATTTAAACCAAAAAGCTGGTTATATCTTCGCACACCTTTTCATGATTGCTTTCATTTTCTTTTGTGGCGTACGTTCAAAAAGCGAAGACAACATTCAACACTATTCTTTCGATTTCGTATAAAAAAAATCTGTTGAGTATAAAAAATTTCTTTCATTTTATTACCTTTGGAAATATTAACGGAAAGGGAAGAGACACAAGAGGGTTTCAAAACAACTTCCCGTTAACGCTTGTTCCGTGATAAATTCCGCGTTATCACGGAATAGAGAGCGTTCGTCCGCGTAGAAGTGGAATTCGCACTGTGCGCGGGCGCTGGCGTCCCTGCCAGGGCGCGTCGTTCCGCTCCGCCCCGCTTCACTCCGCCCGCTCCTCCCCCATCCCCATCCCATCCCACCCTCCCCCACCCCCACCGCTCCCCGCCCGCCACGCGCCAGGCAGCGCTGCGGGCGATACTGTGTCGGGCGGGCGGCGCGGGGCCGCGGCGGCGCGGGTGGGGAGGAGGAGCGGCCGGCTTTCAGTCGGTTCTTTCTTCGGGAACCGGTTCGGACTCCGCGCACCCCGCCGCGCCGCCGCATGCGGCGTTCGCCGCCCGCGCTGTCAGCCCGCACGCCGCGCGCCGCGCGCGCGCGCCGTGCCGCCTGCGGTGTGCGCGCCAGCGGAGAGCGGATGCTGCGCAGCGCGGGCGTTGTGAGAGCCGCAGAGCGCGCCGCCGCGCAGCTGCCCACCCCCTCCCCCCTCTTCACCTCCCACTCCCCCGTGGTTCCCCTACCCATCGCCCGCACGCGCCCCCGCAAACGGCTCGCAGCCCCAAAGACACTACCGGCTCAGGCCATCAGTTGATGTCACTGCAGTGCCTCTGACCGGGAGGTCCAAGGGTTCCACTTCCGACGGTGGCAGGATATTCGACACTTCCTGCATAGCGAGGTCAGATTCAGCGGCTGCCTGGGGGAGAATTCTAGCGGCCGGCTGCCCTGGTCGGCAGTTTCCGTGGTCTCTCCGACCAACATCAGGCGAATGCCGGAGCAGTACCCTAACAAACGCACCACGGTCCGCGCGCGATCTTTCCTTCCTTTTGTCCTATCCTCATCCCTTTCTTATACACGCTTATATTTACATGCACTACACTACCACACATGTCGGGAGACCAGTCGCGAGCGTAGAGCGTGTCCTGGCGGAGGCGGTGCCCTCCTGGTGGGAGATACCTGGTTAGGGAAAAAACCCGCTATCCGACGTGTAGGCCAGCGGGGAAATATTACAATTCCCGCTGTATCCCGCAAATACCATGTACTATACTTACGGGACTAAGTATGAATGTGACCGTTGTAGGTGACGCACCTGAAAACATTAATCAATCAATCGAGGCACATCCTTCTGGTCGAAAGTGATGTATCACTTTTTTATGCAGATGACAATTCGTTTCATAAAAAAATTGTCTGTAAGAAAAGTACAAACAAGTAGTCTAATCGTGAGTGGACGATGTACAAAACTATTGCTGATAATATAATGATTCTTTGGTTCGCCATCATGTATGTGTAACTGATGTCAAAAAGAGAAGACATGATGTGTCTGCCATTGACTAGCGTTTTTTTATGGCATTTTCATAGAAGATAATACTGTTTTCAATGGTTGCAAAACTTCGTGGAAGGGGGGCGTCCTCCTATCATATACTATTTACATTTCAAGCAGGAATTTTTTTATTACAGTTATCTCCTCCTCTCCAAAACGATAATGACGAGATAACAAAAACAAAAGATTTCCTCTTTACTTTCGTAGATTAAATATCTTTATCTTTATTGCATTACTCTCCAATTATCAAAGGACAGAAATGTCAAGAACTTCAAGTAATGATTTGTTAAAGATCACTAAATACGAGATGTCCGCATACCATATTTAAAATGAATGTGAATAATTCTAAACACATAGTAGAGTCTTCGTACTTCCAAGTTATTTTAAATTTTAATTTTTTCTAATTGTTCATAAAAATACTGGTATGGAGTATTGGTATATATTAGATTCATTAGATTTAAGCATTAGATTCATTAGATTTAAGCGTTAGATTCATTAGATTTAAGTCACGTTCATTTAGTGCGATGAAATTGAACGCAATAACCCTAATATTTATAGTTCACGGTAAATAGTTTCAGAACAGAAATTACTTTTAGTGGTTAATTGATTTAGAAGTAAATATCTTTTTATGTTTTGAAGGGAGACTTCAGTTAAGTTGGGGCTTAGAGCAAGTTGCTCCAGCTGCCTCCTGTCCTGGTCGTCACTACCTTTCACTTGCAATTCATTTGTCTCATGGTCTTGTTCTAAGTGACAACTTTGTTGGTTTAGAGTCGACGAATATCACGTGAAACGTGTATCTCAAGGAAAAAGTTCCCCAGGCAAGTGATGCAAATGTATTGACAAAAGAACACAGCAGTACTTGCGTTTTATTTTCGCTGCCGACCGCTTTTCGAAAGCGAGGCTCCACTTTGTCCATTGGAGCTCCACTGAATCCAGATCTTGAAGTTGGTCGCATCTAAGGTATTATTGGCGCGACCGTCAATGGACTATGGAGTCTGTAGACATTCGCTTTCATGCGTGTGCATTGAGCCTCCTGCCGCTATCGGCCCTTCAGCGCATCGCACATTGTGCAAATGTCTCAGAATAAATGTGCCTTGAGGACTTCTGGGGGGGGGGGGTCACTTATTGCCAAAGAAAATTTCATATAACGTGGTGGAAAATTTCATATAACGAAGTTGTGATATTTGTCCCTAAATGATAAGCAACTTGTCATGCACTGTTCTTTGACCGGTCACGTTCTAAGGCTGGCAAAGGAATGTCGTTTGCCTGCCAAGTAGCAATACAAGATGTCAGAGGAAATGCCAGAATAACTTCGAACAATTTATGATATTTCCCTTCACATATTTATTGGCGAAAGTAATCATCTTCGATTTTTTTGTGGTCTAGAGACCTACACGCTTGTAACATTTATTTAGAAACACTTCATGATAATTCTGGGAAAGCTCTAACGCTCCACATCAACAAGGCACCGTGGTAAGCTCAGCCCTCTGATAGTGCCACACAATTTGTTGTTACATCGCCAGAAGCCCACAGGGAATATTCCAATCTTGGATCATCCAGTTTGTCTGTGAATAAAATACTTGAAGTTTATTCTTAGATTCCTTCACGGGGGTATGCGTTCGTGAGGCTTCCGCGGCCGGAGTCAATGCATTCTTGGCTATCCGGGATGAACCGCGTCTCGGTCAATTGTACTGACGTTTCGGCCATCTTGCTGTGGCCTTCCTCAGAGCAAACCGCTACACTGCACACCAGCAGTGTGCTCAGAAAAACGCCACAGCAAGATGGCCGAAACGTCAGTACAATTGACCGAGACGCGTCTCATTCCGGATAGCCAAGAATGCAGCGCCTTCACGGGGGAGGTGTCTTAAAAGTTCTGGAAACAGCAAGTGCTCGGTTTACTTCGTGATGCGCTCGCATGTTTACATCGTGGCTCGATGCATTCGGTATTCGGCGAGTAGCGAGCGACCGCTCGCCGAATCCCGGGTAGTGAGGATGGGCTGTTTGCTATTTGCCGAGTACGTAACATTTGCTGTTCGTCTACCCGCTGCATGTCGATCTTTCGGACACATCAAACACCTTCGCTGGCCGCCTCGGGTGCTCGGGATTGGGCAAGCAGTCGCTCGCTACTAGTGTGGAGCCGCTTGCTTCAAGGCGGCTCCACATATTCGTCATTCGCCGAGCAGCGACCTACTGCTCGCCCGATCCCGAACAGCTGATGTGTTCGGCGAATGTTCGCTCCCTTTGATGTGTCCTAAAGACCGGCACGCGGTGGGTAGGGCGAATACCGAACGTTCGGCGCTCGGCGAATCGCAAGCAACTCTTCCACACTAGTCGGAATTCGACGAGCGGTTTCCGCATGCGTGGAGCCGCCTTTAAGGGAAGTGTCGCACAGACTTCATTAGCAAGTAGGTAAAATTCAAGGGAAGGGTTGAACCACCAAATGCTCGGGTAGAAGCTTTGTTCCCGTTGTCCTTCCCGATTATTGAGAAAATCTTAAAATATCTTCGTTTTCGTTTGCTTACAATTCTTAATTTACTCGTACATGCAACGTAAATTCAGCGTGTAAGTGTTCCTCTAAGTGTTTTTCCTTCCCTGCGCGCGTGTATTCGAAGCACTGATCATAAGTGTTGGTGCTAAACCGGTCCGCATTTTTATAAAACTAACAAAATACTCGACGTTGCCCGCGTCTTCTTTATATCCAATTCTTGTGAAATAGGAAAAAGAGAGTTTTTTTTATAAACCAATGGGTTTAAGATTATTATTTTAATGTGGTTGGATTAAATTTTAATAAAACACTATAATTTTCTTTCATTTTATTTTACAATACATTGCTATTGGATGTTTTATCTTCACTGCTACTGCTACTTCACTGCTACTTGCTTCTAGCAATCTATTAGATACCAGTTCTGCTGAACCTCTACTAACCTCTGACATAATATATATTAGGAACCAACCTATTACGTATCAGTTCTGCTGAACCTCTACTAACCTCTGGCAGAATATATATTAGGAATCAACCTATTACGTACCAGTTCTGCTGAACCTCTACTAACCTCTGTCAGAATATACTTTAGGAACCAACCTGTTAGGTACCAGATCTGCCGCGCCGCTACTGGCCTTTACCGGAATATATTAGGAACCAATCTGCTCTTAGCTACATGCGAAACTGAATGATCGTGATACATTTACCAACATTTGATGCGGCGATACGATTTTATTCGTTTTAATGATTATCTGAAAATATTGCGTTTAAAGTTTTGCGACTTGTTAAGATTAATAGTTACTGAAAAAATGTAGGGAGGGGGAGAAATTTCCCTACTTCCCCCTTTCCCTCGTGGATCCGCGCCTGGCTAAGGGGACAAATGATGAAGCAATTGATGCGCTCGGAAGTACCAATCAAAGAGAATTCCTGGCTATTTAACGATACCATAGACACCTCTCAAAAGGCCAGAGGCAGCATAATTTCTGCAATTAGTAGTATGATACTCAAAGAAATGTTGAGTGTCGACCAATCAATGTTTGTTTGGCGTGCAAATGCTGTGCCCAGGGTGCAGCAAAATCTAACCTGTAAAAATGAAAACATTTCCCAATGCCAAGATAAAAAATCTTATTGACCCGTATGTTAGGCATGTAAGGTTCATGAAGTTTGAACTGTGTAATTAGATTTAAGTTAATTTTGGTTTGTATGATAATGTTCTCTTCTAGCCGCTTACGTTTATTGTGTGCCGTTGCGTATAATCAATTCCCGCCTTCACAGGGTTAGTGTGGAGGGAAAAAAAAGAAAA